CTCAGGACCAATCCTAACCCTACAGTACACTACACCAGACTGTCTGCCCCAGTCCCATCTCAGGACCAATCCTAACCCTACAGTACACTACACCAGACTGTCTGCCCCGTCCCATCTCAGGACCAATCCTAACCCTACACCAGACTGTCTGTCCCATCCCATCTCAGGACCAATCCTAACCCTACAGTACACTACAACCAGACTGTCTGTCCCAGTCCCATCTCAGGACCAATCCTAAACCCCACACCAGACTGTCTGTCCCAGTCCCATCTCAGGACCAATCCTAACCCTACAGTACACTACACCAGACTGTCTGTCCCAGTCCCATCTCAGGACCAATCCTAACCCTACAGTACACTACACCAGACTGTCTGTCCCAGTCCCATCTCAGGACCAATCCTAACCCTACAGTACACTACACCAGACTGTCTGTCCCAGTCCCATCTCAGGACCAATCCTAACCCTACAGTACACTACACCAGACTGTCTGCCCCAGTCCCATCTCAGGACCATCCTAACCCTACAGTACACTACAACCAGACTGTCTGTCCCAGTCCCATCTCAGGACCAATCCTAACCCTACAGTACACTACACCAGACTGTCTGTCCCAGTCCCATCTCAGGACCAATCCTAACCCTACAGTACACTACACCAGACTGTCTGCCCCAGTCCCATCTCAGGACCAATCCTAACCCTACAGTACACTACACCAGACTGTCTGCCCCAGTCCCATCTCAGGACCAATCCTAACCCTACACCAGACTGTCTGTCCAAGTCTCATCTCAGGACCAATCCTAACCCTACAGTACACTACACCAGACTGTCTGTCCCAGTCCCATCTCAGGACCAATCCTAACCCTACAGTACACTACACCAGACTGTCTGCCCCAGTCCCATCTCAGGACACAGGATGAGTGACCAATCTTTTTAACAGACACACAGACACACACATAGTTTACTGTTATAAGATACAGAAGTTACTCTTACAGTTGAGTAAAGTTACAGTCAAAGGGGAAATTGCACCTGGCATTGCAACTGGCAGCCTTTTCTAGTATAAATATATGCAACCGTCCCATGACACTCCCAAATATCTTGTCATCAAATCAGCATTGCCAATGACAATCTTACTGTGGACCTTACTGTGAGCAGGGGAACTCTGAACAGGCACAGAATACTGTAGGTTCAACGGTATAGTGGCAACGCTCTGAGAGAAAGTATGTCATTGTGTAGTAGTGTTGAGGTGATTATGGGGTCTATTCTTGCAAAAAAATGGTTTTGTTGATTTGCATTTTCATAATGTTGTACATAAAAATACCCTATAACTCCCTACACCAACTGACATAGCCTATTGTGGGATGCGAAAAGGCAAACCAGTAAGTTAAAAAAAACACTCTTCCAGATATTCTAGTAGTTTAGGTTTTTGGTGGTCTGCTCTCTCCTATCCTCTTCAGCATGCAGACTGCACCACCTGCTGGTGTGAAGGTGCCATGGTCCTGGTGACAGTTGAATTGCACAGATGATCGCTTCAATAATAATATGCTACTTTCAAATTTGCATATGTTTTTTTTTTGTGTAGAGCTTCTTATTGGTTGATGCTGATAATTTCCAAGTGGGACACTCGGACCTCATCTTTCTACGAGTTTCCAAGTCAAAAATGTCAGATTTGTCTTGAACGAGTCCACAGTATAAGAGTGATGATATCACACACGGTTCTATTGCATTAATAAAATAACACTGTAAGGATTTTGTGAAAGTAGGACTTATTTAATATAATTATAGATTTTTTTTAAATGTAGATGCTCCGTAAGAAAAAAAACGAAAGTATTTCACACAGTTGTAATCCATTAGAAATACAATCAATTATCAAAAAACACTTTATATATCTTTATAACACAGCTCTCTCTGGGCTTGGAAATGATTGCTAAGTATTTACCACCTTCATAGTGCATTATTTTCCAAAGCAATTCAAAGAATTCAATCGTTTTTGTTTCAATATGAACCCTTTCCTTTCACAGGTTAATGAGTTTAGGCCTAGCCTGGTCCCTGATCTGTTTGTGCTCTTGCCAACTCCATTGCTGTCATAGTCAAGCCAGACAAGGCATGACAAATCCATAAGGACTAGGCAAGAGGGCAGAAACAGACTGGTACCCAGGCTAGTTTAGGCCTGGCAAAGGTTCTGTCAGTAACAAAAAGCAATGGGAGAAATATAGGCGACACAAAAATTAATTTCTTAAAAACAAATACTGCATTAGCAGTAAGAAGCAAGGGGGTTGGTGGATGGGTTAGGTTAGTGTTACTCTGTAAGCAGGTGCAGTAGGCCACTGGTAAACAACAGGAAATCAATGAAGTGCACAGTCATGTAGCCTACTCTCTGCATCCCAATTCTCTAGGTAGAGTACTAGTGTCCTCATCACACAATTAAAAGCATTGGATTTGTGTAAGCATGTCAGTCCCTTTCAAATTCATGAAGGGGCGTGAACAAGTGCACACTTACGGCAGAATGTCATATAATTGGACCATAGACAACAGCTTCAAGCAGATGCTGAAGGACACAAGTCAGTCATACTCCTCTGAATAAGTGCTGGGACCAGAGTTACACTCCAATAGCCAATATAAGTGTCACTAGCCTTGTAAGTCTATTGCTTGATGCTTGCTTAATGTTAACTATATAATGCATGAAGCTTCCCAACTGACTAGGCTACATATGCAATGTAATGTTTGTGCTGACTTGATAGAGGGCAATTCCACAGTAACTTTAACATGTATGTCAAGCAAAAACCATTGATTTCAAAGTTTAACAAACCATACAACTCTATGCACAATGACTAGTTTAAACAATTAGTTAATTAAACACAGTAAAATAAATAAATTACAGGATCAACTGGGCAGATGCAAAGTTTGGTAACAGAATTACAGAAAAGTCTCCCTCAGTTTTATTCTTACCAAACTTTGTATGTGCAAAGATCTTCCTGTAAAATGTGCTTTTGTAAACTTTTCAGTGGAAATGTAAATGTTAACTTTTAAATTCATTGTTTTGGTTGGTGTACATTTTAAAGTGAAACATCTGAGTCTCAGTGTAATTCCATTACCATGGAAATGCCGTAGAGCAACTGGCTGAAGGGTGAGTGGACTAGGACCTGCTGCTGGCCTCATACTTCCTGCTGTGTGTGTGTGTGTCAGGTGATTCATAGGCATACAATACAGTCAGCTGCTATGGGTGAACTTCACTGACTGACTGTCTCAAACTAGTCTACTGAACATTTACTCAATGAGGACAGAAACCAGTGCTGCCTGGCACTCACTAGTCTAGACTGGGCAGATTGAAAATAATGAAATCGGTCCACATCACATGTATGGCAGTAAACTTTGACAAAGGGACAACTACCAGTGCTGACACTAACAAGGGCCGTAGTGAAAATAATATATTGGTCCATATTATGTGTAAGTAAACTTGTCAAAATCAATGTGAATCTTAAGAATTTGGCTCCAGTTACTGCCAGTAATGAAGACGAATGTGAGAAAAGAGCCATGTTGCCATTCCTGAGGTATGTCCAGAGCATTTCTGTGTGGTACCACTCAGCACGGATAAACTACCACACACTAGCGTGTACTCAGCCTTCTTAACCATGAAAAAGAGAACTTCTCTTCACTTTACTGGTGGCTTGAGTGAGTTCGGTCCAGCCTAATCTCAGAGTATATAGGCTAAGTCCCAATTTTCCACCTTTCTCCCAAAGTGTGCACTTCCACACTCCCTGTCATGGATTTAACAATGGTGGAAACTCCCATCAGCCAATGCTTACATCAACCCCATGCATTTAAATCCACGACGGGAGTGTGCAAGTGGTAGAAGGGTGGACAACCGGGACGCAGTCATAAGGACCTTTTATTTAGGCACTAAGGTAGTCTCTCTCCCTTTTCCATCCACTTTATCTGTTCTTTATGAACAGTTGCTCCATCTGGGTCATATTCACTAGGCACAAAACCGAAGGAAAAAAAAATGGAGGTGGGATTATCTAAACTTGTCCCATAAGAAATTGTTTTCGTTTTCTATTGCAAAATGTTTTGCTACAGCGTGGCCTAATACGACCTTTTAAACTGTTCCATTACAAACCAGAGAAGCAGCTGAGCTCAGCTGTCAGTTATTCACTGTGTCAGTCCTCAGAGTACTTGTGGTTTAAAGAGGCATTGCAATAAGAAAACTAAAGGGAACATAACTATTCTATTATAGCTAGCTATACCCGCACCATAAAAACCTTTGGTTATTCCAAAACAACTAAACTCTGCCAAGTTCAACTCTTATGCTTCAGAGTTGTGTTCAGTAGGACCAAATTCAACCTAAATTAAACATTTGTTTTCGTTTTCTGTTGCAAAACGGTTTGCTACGGAGTTCTCTAATGAACACGACCCAGATGTATGTGTTTATGTATATAAAAGTGCGGGACCTAACGGGTTTAGTTAGCGTGTGCCTTGAAAAGCAAGCAAAACATCACAATGAGGCAAACATTCCACCATCAGCATCCTCGTTAAAAATAGAAAATCCAATACAAGAATAATCCATCCAGAATAGAAAAATTGATCAGATAATCTATGATTCAAAAACAGATGGAAGAGGAAGACCAGAAGACAATGCAAGCTGCTACATTCTCCCTGTTCCGGAACGCTGTCATCACAAAAGGTGAGTGTTCCATGGGACATGGAGGAGGGGTAGAAGGAGAAGGGTTGTCAGGTGGGCATGGACTATGTAAACATTGAGACAGACAGAAATACAGACAGCTGCAGGTTCTTGTGCAGGTTTCTGAAATGGCATCATTTGGGGGTGGAGGGTGGGGGTACCCAGGATCGTGTTCAATAGGAACGAAAACCTACGAAACTGAGTGAATCAGTGAGGGACTATCTAATTTTGTGCAATAAGAAATGCTCCTTTTCGTTTTCTGTTGCAAATGGAAGTTTTTCAACCATGTGCCCTAATGAACACGACCCAGGGTCCCCTGGGGGTAGAGGGTGGTAAGAAGGGGTATCAAGGTTCCATTCTCAAAGGCTGGGTCAGTAGCCTGGTCCCAGATCTGTTTGTGCTTTTGCCTACTCCATTGGCACCGTTCTGCATGACAGTTCCATTTGGAGTTGGCAAGACAGCAAAAAACAGACTGGCACCCAGGCTAGCTGGTCAGTGGGTGGTGGTCTGGTCTGGTGGTCTGGGAGGGTTGGTAGGAGACAGGTGGTTCAGTTGCTCTTGAGAAGCTCAATGCAGCCCTGCAGCAGAGCCATGTTGTTCTGTGGTTACAGAGAGAACAGGGATATCAGTATCATATCCATTCAACAACAAATGACATTTCACAAGGATTTGGGTACATAACATGAACCACATTTTGCTCATAGTTGCTAGAGTTATAGAGAAAAGCACCAACAATGTAGAGTGTTGTGTCTGGGGTTTGTTTAGTCGGGAATGCTTCCTGCAGCACATAATACAGTTAAGTGTTAATGTGGGATTGAATCCCACAGCTTCTATTTGTGTGTCATTCGATCTCTCTCCTCCCCCTGTATTTCATTACTGCATATTCCAAACAATCTCAAATACAGGAAGGAAAAACAACTATGTGCACCCTGACTCACCTTGGCGTGTTTGATCTCCAGTTCAGCCATCTCTATTAGGTTCTTACGGAAAGCCACCACTCTCCTGCCCTTAAAACTGGTCAGCTCTGGGAGGAGAACACCATACTGGCAGTTTACTCACTGTACTGTATTATGGAAGAAAATTTTAGCCCAAACACACATGCACACTGTCTTACACACACACCTCTTTTTCCCGACTCGGAGAGCTTGTCAAACTTCTGCAGACACTGTTGTTGGTGCTCCTCAGCCTGGGCGATGTCTTTACTCTTCAGCCGGGCCTTGTCCAGAACCTTGTTACTGTTCTCATAGTCAGCCAGGGCCCGGGCTCGCCTGTACAACAGGTCCTGACACACACACCCATATAGCGGTTAAGACACATACACAGACAGCATCTCACAGAGAATGCATGTAATATGCATGTTATATGCATGTAATATGCACGCCTATCGTGTTTCCACGTGTATTGAGAAAAAAACGATTCAATAAAAGTTAGAGGGTTTTTGAGAGAGAAACAGATAGACTAGACGTGGCTCACCTTGGCTGCCTGGATGTCCCTCATGTAGTACCGGAGCAGCTCTGTGAGCTTCAGCTCCTCGTCTGACGCCACTCTACCCTCCACTTTCTACAGGCAGGACCAGATAGATAGAACATTGATGCTACCGCCATGCTCAAAGAACCTAAGATACACATTCATATATATATATATATATATACACACATACACACACACATATATATATATATATATATAAATAACTAACACTCGCACTTGACTTTTCCTACTAGCATGGACTTTGCTGATAGCTACTTTATTGAGGAAAAATGTACTTACTATGACTGAGAAATGTCTCACCAAGCTATCTTAAGATGAATGCACTAACTGGATAAGAGCGTCTGCTAAATGACTCAAATGTAAAAAATGTAGACATTTGCACAGCTCACAAAAGCAAATGCACACACAAGTGTTTAAATGTATTGCTGACCTCACAAAATGAATTTGCATGGAAATTGACAATATAGGGATTATATAAAAACCTAGAATAGAAAAATAGATAGTCGAGGATGAGAAGTGCAGAAGATCAGCACTGTGGTTCTTACCCTTAGTTTCTCAAACAGGTCCGCAAACTTCTCAAGGTGCCTGAAGGGAATACACAAACCATGAACACCTGGGCAAAGTCAGATTTTTTTTGTTGCCGATATTGTGTGAGATATAAACCATTAATTTAGCAACCCGTAATCTCTCATGGCCAGACTACGTAAACATAGACGGTACCGTAGATCGGTCGTTATACTATGGGCACCAATAACTAACAAGCAGCAATAGTTCCGGTGCTTGGGTTTTCCATCACTGATTATTTGGACAAATCACGATTTCGCCCATATAATTGCCCGTAATCTGCAAAGAGAGAGGTTGGAGCTCCTCATTCTAGCATCTCTTCACATCTTCTCTTAACACGTAAGGACCCAGAACTTAATCAAGCGTCTGACCAATTAAGCCAGACTTTAGTTCTGGGTTAACCGAGATTAAGCCACCCGTAGTTGGCTTGAGGAAACAATGGCACCATTCGTATACTTCGAACTATAGTGTATTCATATTGTTACTCACTTTTTAAGTGCTGTGTTGTCATCGACAGAGAGACTGTTCAAAGTGGCAGAGATGTGGATGTAATCATCAGCGACATCTGAGATAAAAGACACAATGTGTTAATGTTAAAATCGGAAATCGAAATTCTTGGCCCTCCTTAAAATCTGAACTCAGCCCCAGTGACTTCCAAGAGGTTAGGGGTCGCCATAATGCAAAACCTGGTATCCTAGGTGACCTCTAGGTGGTCTCCCTGAGGCCAAGGGCCAATGGCTGTAAATTCCAAGCAATCAATAAAAAACACTCAGCATGGGTAACATACTGTAAGAAGTTGCACCACTTTGGTCACAGCCCACAATGTTACCACACATCCTGCTGTTCACGTCTTGAAGACCGATCAGGCCTTAATGGCCACACGTACTCTTAAAATCTCCACCCGGCACAGCCAGAAGAAGACTGGCCACCTCTCAGAGCCTGGTTCCTCTCTACCCGGCACAGCCAGAAGAGGACTGGCCACCTCTCAGAGCCTGGTTCCTCTCTACCCGGCACAGCCAGAAGAGGACTTGCCACCTCTCAGAGCATGGTTCCTCTCTACCCGGCACAGCCAGAAGAGGACTGGCCACCCCTCGGAGCCTGGTTCCGCTCTACCCGGCACAGCCAGAAGAGGACTGGCCACCTCTCAGAGCCTGGTTCCTCTCTACCCGGCACAGCCAGAAGAGGACTGGCCACCCCTCGGAGCCTGGTTCCGCTCTACCCGGCACAGCCAGAAGAGGACTGGCCACCTCTCAGAGCCTGGTTCCTCTCTAACCGGCACAGCCAGAAGAGGACTGGCCACCCCTCGGAGCCTGGTTCCTCTCTAACCGGCACAGCCAGAAGAGGACTGGCCACCTCTCAGAGCCTGGTTCCTCTCTAACCGGCACAGCCAGAAGAGGACTGGCCACCCCTCGGAGCCTGGTTCCTCTAGGTTTCTTCCTAGGTTCCTGCCTTCTGAGTTTTTCCTAGCCACTGTGCTTCTGCATCTGCATTGCTTGCTCTTTGGGGTTTTAGGTTAGGCAGTGTTTGACTTGGGCAGGAGTTGAGTACCGGCACCTCAAATGTTCTGTTCCTCTCATAGAATATTCGCTCAAAAGTATTGTGGAGCTCCTGCACCTAACTATAAACAGTACCGGCACCCAAAATGAGTACCGGCACCTATTTCAGTCCAAGTCCAGCATTGAGGCTAGGTATCTGCAAAGCACTATGTGACAACTGCTGATGTAAAAAGGGCTATATAAAATACATGTGATTGATTGATTCAGCTATGACGAAAAAACACTGTTCTTATCAATAACTCAAAAAGCAAAAAGACAAATTTCCAATTAAAGTTGGTTGTTGTTGTTATCAAATCATACTTTTGTGAGAGCGTGTCATCTTCTCTGCCCTGGCAGTGGAGTCTTTGATCTTGGACGAATAATCAAGTAGGAAGGTCTTCTCCTGCTCAAAGAAATCATCTACTTCCTGCAAGAAAAATCATTTAAAAAACATCAACCTTCTGCCTAAGATACAGTCAAACACACAAAGCCAGATCTTCATCCTGGATACGAAGGTCCCTGCTCAGCTTGTAAACCGTGACGATCTGTGGGTGCATTTGTTTCTCTTTTTTAAAGTCTGCTACTGTAATGCATTGACTTTCTGCATCTAGTTTATAATGCATTGCTGACCTTACACAAAATGAAATTTCATGGAAATAGACAATAAAAGCATTGGGCTTGTTTGACAATGCAGGCGACTGCTGACTGATCTTGAAATCACCTTGCATAAATAAATAACTAGTCATTATTGTTTGTAGATCAGTCAGTCAGTCACAATTTACCCACAATGCCTCACGGATTTGATGCTCTCGAACGTGGCTAGTATTGTATGATATACGAGGAGGCCACACCCACCTTTATCCCTGATATGATGACCTCGTCAGCGCTCTTGACCATGTTCTTAAAGAAACTCCCAAACGTCTCCTTGGCGTTCTTCCTCCGTACGGTCAGCTATGCGGACCAATCGTAGGGAGGGAAATTATTTATTCAGCCAATGAGACCACAGTACAAGTTTGCAATGTAAAATTGATTATGTGAGCTACAATAGCTGTGGTACCGTCTTGTGGAAGCCTTTTGTTCCACATAGGAATGAAGAAAGAGAGTAAGAACTACAATAAGTGTTTAGGTTTTTCCTGATATTTTTATAAATAAATGCCTGTATAACATTTCCCAAAAGGACAAACAAAACCATCTCAGCAGACCCTAGCTGACTAACAGCTCCACTGACCGAGGGGTTTGGAATTAGAGCTGAACTCAGCAGCAGGATGTGTGTCCTAGGTCTGCTTGCCTCTCTTCCTCTATCCCCCTCCCTCTATCCTCCATCTCTACCTCCTACAGTACTGCCTGACAAGGGGGAGGGGGTCGTGTTCACTAGGCACAAAATGGAAGAAACCGACTCGAAACAGAGAGATACTATCTGAACTGCATTGGGAAATGTTTTGCTACGGTGTGCTCTAGTGAACACGACCCAGCAGCAAACCAGGAAGTCAGTACTGTTGGAAAGTGCAGTCTGTCTTCTATGTTTCCTTTTCCAAGTGTCAAACTCACATCCTGGTCATACTCCAGGAATATCTGGAAGTTTCTGTCCTTGCTCAGGATGGGGTGAGAAGATAATCGCTGCAGGAATACTTCGTGGACTTGTACAGTCTTCTTAAATACAGCCAGGTACTCACTGGGAGACAGAGAGCCGGTAGACAGCAAATTACTAACTGATAGAGCGCACATAGACACAGACAGACACACACACACACACACACACACACAAGCTGGAGATCACCAGAATCCTTCCCACAGGGAAGCAACATTTTCCAGAGCAACATCATTTAAACATGCAAAACTATGCCAATGAAGCTTGGACACAGTGACAAGGGGTAAGGGTCAGAACTCACGCCTCTAACTCCTGCTTCATCTTGGTGTATTCCTCCTTGGTCATGGTGGCCTCACCCTCTCCCAGTTTATGCATCTTCTCCCTGGGGCTCTCGAAGTCTGGCTTCGGTGGGGCTGGAGGGATCTGGACAGACAGGGAGAAGGGTGAGGGGGAGAGGAGGAGGAGGAGAGGGGTAGAGGTAGAGGAAGAGAGGTGGAGGAAGGGGAGAGGAGGAGGAAAAAAAAAAAAAAGAGGAGAGCAGATGGAGCTTCAGGTAAGATTTCCTACACCAACTACTAGCTTCCTGCCACCCACAGGCATGTCCATGCATGCAGAGCTGCAATAAAACTCAGTTGATATAGCTGATGGTTTTAAAAACATATGAGCAGATACCAGAGTCCTTTGCACCTTCCCCTTCATCAAATAACACTCTCACTTGTACTGACAGTGAACTTGTGAAATTACATCCACAGTGGCAGCATTGACTGTGAGTGTGAATTAGGGCTGACCCTAATTAGTCGACTGGTCGATTGTTTGGTCGTTAGGCTGTTGGTCGACCGAGATTGTTTTAGTCGAGCAGTAACAAATATATATTCGCACACATCTCAGTGAACTAATCCATTGCGGAGGCCTAGACTAAAAGCCAATTTATGCTTGATCCAAAAACGTGGTCGGAGGCTCCATATGGAGGGTTTGACGCAATTGCGGAACCTCCGGAGGCATGCAGAGGCCAAATCAAGCTCCATACACATAGCCATGCGCCTCCCAAATTTTGTAACAATGCGGAGGGCTCTGTATAGCTCCGCATTGACATGATTGGTTGACGGTAAAAAAACACAAACTCACTTCCTTGACAACAGCTCTGCACTGCTCCACCAAGCGCAAGAAGTATGAAAGCCCCGACTTCTGCTGAGGCCGTATCACCATACAGTGAGGGAAAAAAGTATTTGATCCCCTGCTGATTTTGTACTTTTGCCCACTGACAAAGACATGATCAGTCTATAATTTTGATGGTAGGTTTATTTGAACAGTGAGAGACAGAATAACAAACAAAAAAATCCAGAAAAACGCATGTCAAAAATGTTATAAATTGATTTGCATTTTAATGAGGGAAATAAGTATTTGACCCCTCTGCAAAACATGACTTAGTACTTGGTGGCAAAACCCTTGTTGGCAATCACAGAGGTCAGACGTTTCTTGTAGTTGGCCACCAGGTTTGCACACATCTCTGGAGGGATTTTGTCCCACTCCTCTTTGCAGATCTTCTCCAAGTCATTAAGGTTTCGAGGCTGACGTTTGGCAACTCGAACCTTCAGCTCCCTCCACAGATTTTCTATGGGATTAAGGTCTGGAGACTGGCTAGGCCACTCCAGGACCTTAATGTGCTTCTTCCACGGCCACTCCTTTGTTGCCTTGGCCGTGTGTTTTGGGTCATTGTCATGCCGGAATACCCATCCACTACCCATTTTCAATGCCCTGGCTGAGGGAAGGAGGTTCTCACCCAAGATTTGACGGTACATGGCCCCGTCCATCGTCCCTTTGATGCGGTGAAGTTGTCCTGTCCCCTTAGCAGAAAAACACCCCCAAAGCATAATGTTTCCACCTCCGTGTTTGACGGTGGGGATGGTGTTCTTGGGGTCATAGGCAGCATTCCTCCTCTTCCAAACACAGCGAGTTGAGTTGATGCCAAAGAGCTCGATTTTGGTCTCATCTGACCACAACACTTTCACCCAGTTCTCATCTGAATCATTCAGATGTTCATTGGCAAACTTCAGACGGGCCCTGTATATGTGCTTTCTTGAGCAGGGGGACCTTGCGGGCGCTGCAGGATTTCAGTCCTTCACGGCGTAGTGTGTTACCAATTGTTTTCTTGGTGACTATGGTCCCAGCTGCCTTGAGATCATTGACAAGATCCTCCCGTGTAGTTCTGGGCGGATTCCTCACCGTTCTCATGATCATTGCAACTCCACGAGGTGAGATCTTGCATGGAGCCCCAGTCTGAGGGAGATTGACAGTTATTTTGTGTTTCTTCCATTTGCGAATTATCACACCAACTGTTGTCACCTTCTCACCAAGCTGCTTGTCGATGGTCTTGTAGCCCATTCCAGCCTTGTGTAGGTCTACAATCTTGTCCCTGACATCCTTGGAGAGCTCTTTGGTCTTGGCCATGGTGGAGAGTTTGGAATCTGATTGATTGCTTCTGTGGACAGGTGTCTTTTATACAGGTAACAAACTGAGATTAGAAGCACTCCCTTTTAAGAATGTGCTCCTAATCTCAGCTCGTTACCTGTATAAAAGACACCTGGGAGCCAGAAATCTTTCTGATTGAGAGAGGGTCAAATACTTATTTCCCTCATTAAAATGCAAATCAATTTAATAACATTTTTGACATGCGTTTTTCTGGATTTTTTTGTTGTTATTCTGTCTCTCACTGTTCAAATAAACCTACCATTAAAATTATAGACTGATCATTTCTTTGTCAGTGGGCAAACGTACAAAATCAGCAGGGGATCAAATACTTTTTTCCCTCACTGTAGTTGATTTTATGAAAACACATAGGGTGTGTCTATATGGAAAAATACACGGGTAAAAATGTTTACCTATCGATTAGTCGAAAGAACAGACGACTTTCGGTCGACCAAGACTTATTTTAGTCGGGGACAGCCCTAGTGTGAACTATACTATAAATAAGTGGTGTGTGTGTGCGCGTTCCGTAGACTAGAGCTGGGACGATAAACTGAAAATGATCGACACTGACCATCCCGATCACTTATCACAGGCATTTTGCTGATATCTTTTATTACGATAAGTAGCCTATACTAGAGAAGTTTGAAATGAAAAATGTTTGCTAATATGGGTGATTGTTAATGGGACAACTGATGGCTACAACCATCAAACTAGTAGTAGTAGTTAAGGATTTTACAAAAAGTACTGTGGTGCACATTAATGTTTTAAACATATCATTCTATTTATCATTATCGCATCAATCCAGGCAATTTATCGAGATATGGATTTTTCTCCACATCACCCAGCTCTAGTACTTAAGTCACTCAATGAGCCCAGCATAGTCCCAAACCTGTGTGTGTGTGTGTGTGGTGGACTTAACAGGACACTCACGATGAGCCCAGCGTAGTCCTCAGTCTCAACCAGCGTGTCATGGAGCCAGATAAAGTCCTCATGTTGCCTAGGAACAGAGAAGTCTGGCTTCTGGAAGGAGCTCAGGGTGGTCTGACAGACAAGACAATTCAAGTCAAGCTCCATTTTAAGTGCATTATCACGGTTGTAATACAGTGCATTCGGAAAGTATTCAGACCCCATGACTTTTTCAACATTTTGTTACGTTACAGCCTTATTCTAAAATTGATTAAATTGTTTTTTCCCCCCCCCTCATCAATCTACACACAATACCCCACAATGACAAAGCAAAAACAGGTTTTTAGAAATGTTTGCACATTTATTACAAAAAAAAAACGGAAATATCACATTTACATAAGTATTCAGACCCTTTACTCAGTACTTTGTTGAAGCACCTTTGACAGCGATTACAGCATAGTTTCTCCCATTCTTCTCTGCAGATCCTCTCAAGCTCTGTCAGGTTGGATGGGGAGCGTTGCTGCACAGCTATTTTCAGGTCTCGCCAGATATGTTCAATCAGGTTCAAGTCCGGGCTCTGGCTGGGCCACTCAAGGACATTCAGAGACTTGTCCCAAAGCCGCTCCTGCGTTGTCTTGGCTGTGTGCTTAGGGTCATTGTGCTGTTGGAAGGTGAACCTTCGCCCCAGTCTGAGGTCCTGAGTGCTCTGGAGCAGGTTTTCATCAAGGATCTCTCTGTACTTTGCTCTGTTCATCTTTGCCTCGATCCTGACTAGTCTCCCAGTCCCTGCCGCAGAAAAACATCCCCACAGAGGAACTCTGGAGCTCTGTCAGAGTGACCATCGGGTTCTTGGTCACCTCCCTGACCAAGGCCCTTCTCCCCCGATTGCTCAATTTGGCCGGGCGGCCAGCTCTAGGAAGAGTCTTGGTGGTTCCAAACCTCTTCCATTTAAGAATGATGGAGGCCACTGTGTTCTTGGGGACCTTCAATGCTGAAGACATTTTTTAGTACCCTTCCCCAGATCTGTGCCTCGACACAATCCTGTCTCGGAGCATCTATGGACAATTCCTTCGACCTCATGGCTTGGTTTTTGCTCTGACATGCACTAACAACTGTGGGACCTTATATAGACAGGTGTGTGCCTTTCCAAATCATGTCCAATCAATTGAATTTACCACAGGTGGACTCCAATCAAGTTATAGAAACATCTCAAGGATGATCAATGGAAACAGGATGCACCTGAGCTCAATTTCGAGTCTCATAGCAAAGGGTCTAAATACTTATGTAGATAATGTATTTATGTTTTGTTTTTTATACATTTGCTAAAATTTATGGGGTATTGGGTGTAGATTGCTGAAGATAATTTTTTATTTAATCCATTTTAGAATAAGGCTGTAACGTAACAAAATGTGGAAAAAGTCAAGGGGTCTGAATACTTTCCGAAGGCACTGTATATATATACACACACACACACATTTTGATAATTTAGCAGACACTGATCCAGAGCGACATACAGTCAGTGCAGCATTCAACTAAGGTAGGTAAGACAACTACATTTGACATAGAAACAACATAAGCTGTAGTTCGAGCCTGCTGCACACTAATAACATTAGGACTATATTACTCGAATAACTGACAGGGAAGTGAGGGAACTAGCGGTGACCCTTAGCTTGGGAATTGAAACTGTAGGGTTGCTGTTTTTACCTTGGTGTGGACAGTGAACTTGACTTTGTCACGTTCACAGAGTGCATCAGGAATGTCGATGAGCAGAGAGGCATCGTTGTTTAGGTCCACAGACACAGAGCGCACCTAAGAGAAGGGGGAACAGGGTAAAGGACAAAGGTCAACTTTCACAACTAGGCCTACCAGTTGGCAGAATCCTTCATCTGTACATTATGGACAATGGCATTCACAGGAAGGGGAATCAGTATATAGGCTATTTGAGGCCTGAAGAACAAATCGCCTAGTCCTTAGCTTTGAGACATGACAGTAGATTCCTATAGCCATGTCTCAGGGCTACCTAGTCCCGACTCCCTAACATATTCTCGAAATCCTTGATTTAGGCTACTCATGTGCTATTGAATGTGACCTTAGAGGACAGAGAGAGAGAGTGGAGAGAGAGGTGAATACAGGTAGGCCTAACACAGAACAAGGTTCTAGACTAACTGTTTCCACTGGTGGTACCAACTTTTGCAGTTGATGGCACCAGCACATGATTTGATCGCACCAATTTTTTTGCCCCTGCCGACCTGTGTCCCATAATGTACCTGCATTCCATACAAAACCAGGCTAATAATGACTAGCCATCTTTTAAATTAGCATGACCTTCTGTTCTTACATTGATTTAGATAGATTTACACTAGGTTCAAGGCTAACTTTTTTTTCTCACTGGCAGTTTATAAATGCATTGGGGTGCATGCTTTCTCTCTATATTCAGCTAGTAATAGGCTATATTTAGTTATTAATCAATTAGGTATTTAAAAGCTGCATTATATACAGTGAGCTCCAAAAGTATTGGGACAGTGAAACATTTGTTGTTGTTTTGGCGCTGTACTCCAGCACGTTGGATTTGAAATGATACAGTGCAGACTGTCAGCTTTAATTTGAAGGTATTTTCATCCATATAGTGTGAACCGTTCAGAAATTAAAGCACTTTTAGTACATAGTCCCCCCATTTTAGGGGACCAAAAGTATTGTGACAAATTCACTTGTGTGTGTTAAAGTAGACAAAAGTTTAGTATTTGGTCCCATATACCTAGCACGCAATGATTACATCAAGCTTGTGACTCTACAAACTTGTTGAATTAATTTGCTGTTTGTTTTGGTTGTGTTTCAGATTATTTTGTGCCATATAGAAATGAATGGTAAATAATGCATGTATCATTTTGGATGAACTTTTATTGTAAATAAGAACAGAATATGTTTCTAAACACTTCTACATTAATGTGGATGCTACCATGATTACGGATAGTCCTGAATTAATTGTGAATAATGATGTGTGAGAAAAGTTACAGAAGCACAATATCATATCCCCAAAACATGCTAACCTCTCACCATTACAATAACAGGGCAGGTTAGTATTTTTTGGGGGGGGTATGATATTTGTGCATCTGTAACCTTTTCACTCATCATTATTCACGATTCATTCAGGACTATCCGTAATCATGGTAGCATCCACATTAATGTAGAAGTGTCTAGAAACATTCTATATTTACAATAAAAGTGACTTTAAAATTCATTTCTATAGGGCACAAAATAATCTAAAACAACTACAGTGGTCCTCTGTAGCTCAATTGGTAGAGCATGGCGCTTGTAACGCTAGTGGGTTCGATCCCCGGGACCACCCATACGTAAAAATGTATGCACACATGACTGTAAGTCGCTTTGGATAAAAGCGTCTGCTAAATGGCATATTATTATTATTTAACTAAAACAAACAGAAAAAATATCCAACAAGTTTGTAGTCAAAAGCTTGATGTAGTCATTGCGTGCTAGGTATATTACATTTACATTACATTTTAGTCATTTAGCAGACGCTCTTATCCAGAGCGACTTACAGGAGCAATTAGGGTTAAGTGCCTTGCTCAAGGGCACATTTACGTCATTTAGCAGACGCTCTTATCCAGAGCGACTCACAAATTGGTGCATTCACCCTATAGCCAGTGGGATAACCACTTTACCATTTTTTTTTTGGGGGGGGGGGGGGGGGGGGGGGGTAGAAGGATTACTTTATCCTAATGGGACCAAACACTAAACTTTGAACTACTTTAATACACATAAGTGAATTTGTCCCAGTACTTTTGGTCTCCTAAAATGGGGGAACTACGTACATAAAGTGCTGTAATTTCTAAATGATTCACCCGATATGGAAGAAAATACCCTCAAATTAAAGCTGACAGTCTGCACTTTAACCTCATAGTCATTGTATCATTTTACATTTTCATTTTTTTAAAATCCAAAGTGCTGGAGTACAGAGCCAAAACAACAACAACAAAATATGTCACTGTCTGAATACTTTTGGAGCTCAGTGTAATTTAGTAATGTAAGCCATTACTCTATTCTTTGGAAATAATTTGTTTCTAAAGTACGCCTGTCATTTAAAGATTTTTTTTTACATCTCAAAATAGGCAATTGTCACTTTAAACCAGACTGCTTTTCAGACGATATCGATACAGTGGGGGGAAAAAGTATTTAGTCAGCCACCAATTGTGCAAGTTCTCCCACTTAAAAAGATGAGAGAGGCCTGTAATTTTCATCATAGGTACACGTCAACTATGACAGACAAATTGAGATTTTCTTTCTCCAGAAAATCACATTGTAGGATTTTTAATGAATATATTTGCAAATTATGGTGGAAAATAAGTATTTGGTCACCTACAAACAAGCAAGATTTCTGGCTCTCACAGACCTGTAACTTCTTCTTTAAGAGGCTCCTCTGTCCTCCACTCGTTACCTGTATTAATGGCACCTGTTTGAACTTGTTATCAGTATTAAAGACACCTGTCCACAACCTCAAACAGTCACACTCCAAACTCCACTATGGCCAAGACCAAAGAGCTGTCAAAGGACACCAGAAACAAAATTGTAGACCTGCACCAGGCTGGGAAGACTGAATCTGCAATAGGTAAGCAGCTTGGTTTGAAGAAATCAACTGTGGGAGCAATTATTAGGAAATGGAAGACATACAAGACCACTGATAATCTCCCTCGATCTGGGGCTCCACGCAAGATCTCACCCCGTGGGGTCAAAATGATCACAAGAACGGTGAGCAAAAATCCCAGAACCACACGGGGGGACCTAGTGAATGACCTGCAGAGAGCTGGGACCAAAGTAACAAAGCCTACCATCAGTAACACACTACGCCGCCAGGGACTCAAATCCTGCAGTGCCAGACGTGTCCCCCTGCTTAAGCCAGTACATGTCCAGGCCCATCTGAAGTTTGCTAGAGTGCATTTGGATGATCCAGAAGAGGATTGGGAGAATGTCATATGGTCAGATGAAACCAAAATAGAACTTTTTGGTAAAAACTCAACTCGTCGTGTTTGGAGGACAAAGAATGCTGAGTTGCATCCAAAGAACACCATACCTACTGTGAAGCATGGGGGTGGAAACATCATGCTTTGGGGCTGTTTTTCTGCAAAGGGACCAGGACGACTGATCCGTGTAAAGGAAAGAATGAATGGGGCCATGTATCGTGAGATTTTGAGTGAAAACCTCCTTCCATCAGCAAGGGCATTGAAGATGAAACGTGGCTGGGTCTTTCAGCATGACAATGATCCCAAACACACCGCCCGGGCAACGAAGGAGTGGCTTCGTAAGAAGCATTTCAAGGTCCTGGAGTGGCCTAGCCAGTCTCCAGATTTCAACCCCATAGAAAATCTTTGGAGGGAGTTGAAAGTCCGTGTTGCCCAGCGACAGCCCCAAAACATCACTGCTCTAGAGGAGATCTGCATGGAGGAATGGGCCAAAATACCAGCAACAGTGTGTGAAAACCTTGTGAAGACTTACAGAAAACGTTTGACCTGTGTCATTGCCAACAAAGGGTATATAACAAAGTATTGAGAAACTTTTGTTATTGACCAAATACATATTTTCCATCATAATTTGCAAATAAATTCATTAAAAATCCTACAATGTGATTTTCTGGATTTTTTTTCTCCATAGTTGACGTGTACCTATGATGAAAATTACAGGCCTCTCTCATCTTTTTAAGTGGGAGAACTTGCACTATTGGTGGCTGACTAAATACTTTTTCCCCCACTGTATGTCTACAGTAGGCTAACCAAGACAAATGATAGGTGTCTTTTTGTCCACTCAACAGTAGCCAGTAGACCATTTTTTTCCAGTGATAAGACAACTGAGATGGTAGCCTATGATTTAAAAAGCAAACTATTTCATCTAACATATCCAGGGAATGCATTATTGATGGGCAACCTGTCGAAATAGGATCCAGAATTACCAGATTTATTTTTGGCATCTTGTTCATATTGGCCTAGGCTATATTACTCACCACCTGAGAAAGTGGGAACTCAAAACACTTAGCAAGATTACTAATTATAAATATGAATGTTGCTAGATAGCCATGTAGGCCAACTGATTAATCTATCAGTAAATGTAATGTCCTACAAAAACTTCCAGCGCTAGGCCTATACAGGCTACTTGATAACGGCACGCTCTGCTTGGCTGCGTCTGCGGTCGAATCAAAACCATATACTACATAGGCTACAGTGGTGCCATGAACTCAATACTGAGAAATAAATTATATACTCACAGAAAGCTGCGACTCTCCTCTCTGTAACTAGAGCAGTAGTTGCTTTGAAAACTGTATTTTTTCCGCAATTGCATTTTCAGCAACGGTCATACAGTTACGCTTATTAGAATGCACGCCTCTCCTCCGTTAGCACAGTAGGGAAAGGGAATAGCTCGCTCACACTGACATAGCAGCCGACAGGCAAATACTTTTATATGGTTTAGGCTATTTTTTGTCAATTGCACATTAGCTTTTGAATACATCATGGTAATTTATAAAAATAAGCAAATTGTGAACCAAAAGCTAATATGACCAGCCAAGTCAAAGGGTCGCAAATGCGAGTGTTTTGGTCGCAGTTTTGAGCCCTGCATAACACAAATGAAGGCTCTCTTTCACTTTAGATTGGATTACAGGTAACTCCCATTCCTCTTCACTGAATTCAAAGTCCAGTGATGTGACTCATCCTTGGGATTGAATCACACACACTTGAAGCAATAACTCCAGATAATTTCCCAAAAGGGTCAGTGTTCCCAAGAGTATGCTTGCTAGTGCACATTTCTCCTAGCCTGGTCCCAGATCTGTTTGTGGCATCTTACCACTCCCTACGGTCATTATTGTCAAGGCTAAATTTCTCCCATCTGAACAGCTGTTTCTGTTTAAGTAGGATAAACATTGATCGTATGGGTGGCCCCAGCGGGAACTGATCCCACGATCCTGGCGTTGCAAGCACCATGCTCTATCAATTTAGCCAGTACTCTCTGTGTGAATGATCCACTGAGCCTCAGTAGAGTTCCACCATACTACTACCTGAACTCTGCTACTCAGCTTTGCAGAGTCAACCGAAATAAAGCAGAGGAAGTTTCCTCTGGAAAGTCTCACAGGAAATGATTTTTTTTTTTAGCAGAAACTAAAATAACCACAGGCCTGTCCAATTCCACGCCAGTCCATGTGTACGCAATCTGAATTCTTCTGTCATTGGCCAGGACAATACTAGCCTGTTACTGCCACGTTGCCAAATGCAATGGTTAGATGAGTGGTCTGTGTTCCATATTCTAAAATCAATAGCCCTCTAGGCACATATAATTCAAAACAGTAATTGGGGGAAACAGCAAGAGCGGAAAATTAAACCAGCGAGCCTGGCCTGACGTTATTGAGGAAGTGCAAAAGCCCAGCTCTCTATTCAGAGGCAGAACAACATTTAGAGGCTACGATATGAAGTATTGTATGGTAAAACTAAAGTAGCCTGGGGTGGTGACAATACAATAATGGATAAGACATTTTGTGACAACAATATTCATCTGTGAAGTAGCTAGCCAGTTAGGCCAATGCCAAAGATGGTGGTAGAATGCTTTCTATTCCGTCTCCAATACTAGTTGACGTTATAAGTTACTGACTGTTGCTTTCAACAGACTGCAACTGTTGATTCCTCTCGATAACTAATTTAGCTAGCCAGGCAGCCTTATTTTCAGTTTATTAGCTAGCCAGCTAAAGTTATCATAGATAGCTGACTGTATGAATAACTTTACCTAAATACTGCACAGTTGCGTTTTAAGCAAGTGAGGATCTCAAACTTTCTCGCTAGCTAAAATATAGGTTACAGCTAGCAGTTAGCTGGCTAATTAACATTAACCAAATAGCTAGGTAACGTTAGTTGGCAAACGAATACGAATCGACGTTATTCGAGTACATCGCTCATAACGTACCTTTTCTTTTTCGCTATCATCAAGAGTAGACGTCATGATTATAAAGGTACAACAAAAACAACGCTACAGATCGTCGTGTTGTGCTGCAAATCTAGCTACGCTAGCTTCTGAAAACAAACCCCGTTTCGCTTCCTGTCCCATGACAGATAAATCCCGCCCAATGACTCACCCTGATGTTTTTGATTGGACAAGGTTTATGAACGTCAATCAAAATAGTTTGTTGCTTTTTTTTCAACCAACATCGCATTTCGAACATACGGTACCGAAACAACATTAAACATCCTAAATCATTACATATTTTAATAATGTACTGTATATGGCCACAGCGTATGTGGACTTTTCAAAGTTCACTTTGGTCCACTTTAGTTCCATGTCAGGAAAAAACGGACCGGCGTCAAAGACACACCTTCAAGGCATTACTGGACTTGTAGTTTTATCTATCATGTCCCACCCAGGATTTACTTGAGAAAAAACTACACGCCCGGCAACCTGTCCCTCATCCGTCAAAACGTGGTAACAACAAAATCGTGCTACGTTTGGGAGAGGTGTTGATATGTGCCCAGCGTGTGTGGGAGCCAGCTACGGTTGTGTGGACTCTTTTCCCATTGTACCCTGATTTCCGTGAATACTTTCTCCACCTCGTAAGAAAAGTAGTCCATACAGTTCCGTGGACAGAGGACGTTACTCTTCACTTGTCAAGTCAGTCGTGTCCCACTGAGTCAGTGCTCAAACTCCCAATATCGTAGAGGAGCCAGATCTACATTAAATCCCAAACACCCAACTGCAACCCAAAGTGCCTAAAATCCTCCACACGTTGCTTAACCGCGACAGAACATTTGAAACTGAGCTTGGACGTGCTCCAGCCAGAATTATTCTACCGAGTGGTCAGGACAGGGGCTCTGTGCCCATTGTGACCCCTATCCTTCAGCAGACACTGTCCCCGGAACAACCGTTTTACCTGGAGAGGTGTAGGAGGAAGATGATCACACAACTGGGAGAGGATGGCTTCAAGGAATACAGCCAGAGTAAGTAGGCGTAAGCAGAACCCTCTGATTGTAAAAGTTTATTTAATTATCTAAAATATGAATTTGCCACACATGAGGACATGATACATATGAACAAACACTCTCACTCTCCTTCAAATGACCCAAATGTTTCTATGTCAGATCTATTCAGGCAAGGGACGCTTTTCCACGTGGCCGTGAAGAGTGTTCGCCCATTGACAACAGAGGAGGCACCAGGGGAAGACACAGCAGATCCTGAGAAGGCACCAGAGGTTCCAGCAGAGGTAGAGGGATACATGGAGAGTATCAAATCAAATCACATTTTATTGGTCACATACACATTTAGCAGATGTTATTGCGGGTGTAGCGAAATGCTTGTGTTCCTAGCTCGAACAGTTCAGTAGTATCTAACAATACACACAAATCTAAAAGTAAAATCATGGAATTAAGAAATATATACATATTAGGATGCGCAAGCTCGGCGTGGCATTGACTAAAATACAGTAGAATAGAATACAGTATATACATATAAGATGAGTAAAGCAGTATGTAAACATTATTAAAGTGGCCAGTGATTCCATGTCTATGTATTTAGGGCAGCAGCCTCTAAGGTGCAGGGTTGAGTAACCTGGTGGTAGCCGGCTAGTGATGGCCATGTGCTGGGTGGTGGGTGGTAGCCGGCTAGTGATGGCCATGTGCTGGGTGGTGGGTGGTAGCCGGCTAGTGATGGCCATGTGCTGGAGGACGTTAGGGGAGTGAAAGCCATCGAGAGCCGTGTGCAGCATGACAAACTAGGCTATCTGGGGATTGTGGACTGCGTTGCTTTCTACAGGTGAGGATGGCCAAGTTCCAGGCTAACTACATTGCAGACGACTACTGTAGAGGGTTCTTTGCACAGTGCTGATATTCTCTTATTCGTAAACAAACTTTAAACTTTAGAAAATGACACAGACAACGGCTTCTGAGTATATGTAAAATATCTTTAGTTATGCAATTGCAGGCAGAAGTTAATACAGAGTCAACAGGATTTGTATAGCTCTTCATAAGTTCTGCAAAGTGTCTAAAACAATCTCTGCTTTTTATACTAACACTCACTCCCTTCCCATAGCCTGACCCTGAACTTGCCCTAGTAACAACAAAGTATTCTCCTAATCCTGTCTTCCCACGAACTCAGTATCAGGGGGTGAGGTGTCAGACAATGTGGCAATTGTGGTTGCAGGTTTCTGAGAACTTTCTGCTGTCAAGGCCTCAATAGTTTTTAATAATGTAAGCAAATGCGCATAATAGATAATATATTACCCATCACTACCAGATCTCTCAACGACTGGATAGATGTTCAACATATCAGCTAACCACATCATTTGATGTAATGCAACAACGTCTGCAATGTTGTCAGCCTGGAATGCGACCGACATCTTCTCAAAGAAAGGACTAGAGGCTCTACCTGACCTGTCAATTTATTTGGCCAATTCACACTTTTATTCATTCTCTCCACTTGTGATTCCTAGGGTCAGTTTCCCAGACACAGACAAAGCCTAGTCCTGGACTAAAAAAAATCTCAATTGAAAGTGCTTTTAATGTTTGGCCCCTGGACTAGTTTTAATCTGTGTCCAAGAAACTGGCCCCTAAAGCTCAGCCTTCGTTCCTCAGGGGTGTGCTGTGTGTGATCGACTAGAAAACAGAGGTGGAAACCTTTCCTCAGCAACACGTACGACAACCCTCTACAGGTGGCAGCCTACGTTGCGGCCTTAAACAACGATGTGAACTACAAGTACCAGGTAGGTGTGATTGAGTGAGACCACCACACTCTCTCAGCCTGTCCTAATTCACTTCCTACCACTCCTCCTTGGCCCTAACCCTTCAATGTTTGCATGTATAAGCAGTGTAGTGATGGAGCTTCCAGTATTGCTGCCACCTTACAGATCTGCAAACATCGAATAGTTAGGGCCAAGGGGGAAGGACAGAGAGCGAAATGAGTCTCTCTCAAATGTCTTTCTCACATAATACACAGTGTGCTTAATTTCCTCCATGGGTTCTCGCTCTCCCTGCAGGTTGAGAATGGACTGATAGTGGGGGCATATAAAGATAATTCTACTGAGCTCAGATCAGGTGCTACAGTACTGGGAGAGATGGCTGGTAAGACTGGAGGAGTGCACAGAGAGGAGGTGGATGAATGGTGTCTTTGCTGCGGATGGTGCAGTAGGGGTAGCAGCCACTTGTGAGTGAATGTGTCAATGTCCTTTGTGTGTTTGTGTATGTCGTGTGCTGGACTGACTGGTTTCATCTGCATGTTTCATGTCTATGTACATGTGATCCGTTCTGTAAGAAGAATGTCCATCCTGGATGGACAATGAAGTTATATTATATTTTAAGTGCATTGCTACTTTACTGAGACCTAGAAGTACAGTCACCCCATAAACAGAAACTCCTTGTCTTTTCTGAGACTTGGTCACATTTGATTGGTGACTTGGAGTTAGGAGTGTCACAGTCTGCTCAGTAACTGACAATTAAGCATTTTATACTCTGTCCTGTGACTGTATTTTTGCTCCATTGCTCTATTTTGAGCCGGACACGTTTGACAACAACCATTATTTTAGTGTTGTGTTACCTCGAGGAAGTATTTCAAGCTGGAAAATGCATAATTGACCTTACACCTTGTAAAACTGTTGTATTGAACAACCTTTCCTCTAGTCTAAATGTTGAGGGGTTTTTTTTCATTTAAAATGGGAACATCACTTCTGAGGAACTCTAACCACTAGATGGTAGCATCAGCCTGTGAAGTTCAGTACTAAACAAAGATGAATGAGAAATAGTTTATCATGTTTGACACAATATATATATATATATATATATATATATATATATATATATATACACACACACACTACAATTCAAAAGTTTGGGGTCACTTAGAAATGTCCTTGTTTTAGAAAGAAAAGCAATTTTTTTGTCTATTAAAATAACATCAAATTGATCAGAAATACAGTGTAGACATTGTTAATGTTGTAAATGGCTATTGTAGCTGGAAACAGCTGATTTTTTTATGGAATATCTACATAGGCGTACAGAGGCCCGTTATCAGCAACCATCAGTCCTGTGTTCCAATGGCACATTGTGTTTGCTTATCCAAGTTTATCATTTTAAAAGGCTAATTGGTCATTAGAAAACCCTTTTGCAATTATGTTAGCAAAGCTGAAAACTGTTGTGCTGATTAAAGAAGCAATAAAACTGGCCTTCTTGAGACTAGTTGAGTATCTGGAGCATCAGCAATTGTGTGTTCGATTACAGGCTCAAAATGAAAATAGTACCCGCAAAACACCAGTCTCAACGTCAACAGTGAAGAGGCGACTCCGGGATGCTGACCTTCTAAGCAGAGTTGCAAAGAAAAAGCCATATCGCAGACTGGCCAATAAAAATAAAATATTAAGATGGGCAGCCTGATATGGCTTTTTCTTTGCAACTCTGCCTAGAAGGTCAGCATCCTGGAGTCGCCTCTTCACTGTTGACGTTGAGACTGGTGTTTTGCGGGTACTATTTAATGAAGCTGCCAGTTGAGGACCTGTGAGGCGCCTGTTTATCAAACAAGACACTAATGTATTTGTCCTCTTGCTCAGTTGTGCACAGGGGCCTCCCACTCCTCTTTCTATTCTGGTTAGAGCCAGTTTGCGCTGTTCTGTGAAGGGAGTAGTACACAGCTTTGTACGAGATCTTCAGTTTCTTGGCAATTTCTCGCATGGAATAGCCTTCATTTCTCAGAACAAGAATAGACTGATGAGTTTCAGAAGAAAGTTCTTTGTTTCTGGCCATTTTGGCCCTGTAATCGAACCCACAATTGCTGATGCTCCAGATACTCAACTAGTCTCAAGAAGGCCAGTTTTATTGCTTCTTTATTCAGCACAACAGTTTTCAGCTGTGCTAACATAATTGCAAAAGGGTTTTCTAATTATCAATTAGCCTTTTAAAATTATAAACTTGGATTAGCAATCACAACGTGCCATTGGAACACAGGACTGATGGTTGCTGATAATGGCCCTCTGTACGCCTATGTAGATATTCCATTAAAAATCAGCCGTTTCCAGCTACAATAGCCATTTACAACATTAACAATGTCTACACTGTATTTCTGATCAATTTTATGTTATTTTAATAGACAAAAAAATTGCTTTTCTTTCGAAAACAAGTAACCCCAAACGGTAGTGTATATATATTTTTTAACATTCCCTCATTTAAGGTTTTAAATTAACATTTGGAATCAGAAATATAAACAACACGGATGAAGTGTTATAGCTCAGAATACAATTAGCATAATCTACTATGTGGCGTTCTAATTACACCACACGGAAAATAAGCATGGAGAAACACAAATATAATGGGGTCCCGTGTGGCTCAGTTGGTAGAGCATGGCGCTTCCAACGCTAGGGTTGTGGGTTTGATTCCCACAGGGGACCAGCAGGAAAACGTTTTTATAAATGTATGCACTCACTACTGTATGTCACTCTGGATAAGAACGTCGCCGTCTGCTAAATGACTAAATGTTGAATAATGGAATCGTTGCTAGTCTAAAAGGTATTTGAATCGTTTGCATAGATAAGATGCATATAAAACATATTTAATGACTGTTGAAAGTAATATTTGCTCAAAGTCCATCCTGCAATGATCTCGCCACACACTGTCTTCTTATTTGGAGCTAATAGCATAGCTTTTAATGTCAACAGTGATCACTATGCAAGACCTTAGTCATAAACTGTTAAAGTCGAACCATGCAGCCCTGTATTGAGGGTCCTCAGTAAAGCCCAGGTTGGTGAAGAGGCTGTAGGACAGTGTGTTCTCCTCCTCAATGAAGCAGTACACTGGGTAGCCCTGAGCATAGAGCCTCCTGGACATGCTGCTGACCAGGGCTTTGGCCAGGCCCTGTCCTCTGTGCTCCTGCAGGGTGTACAACATACCTGGAGCAGGGAAGGAACCATCGTTTTAGTAATTGTTTCCCGGGGCGCACGAAATTAGGAGGAACATGTAAAGTCTATAAAAGCACCACTTAGTCCTGTTCAAGTGAGAGCTGTGTACAGTGCCTTCAGAAAGTATTCACACCCTTTAACTTTTTCCACATTCTGTTGTGTTACAGCCTGAATTTCAAATTGATTAAATTGAGTGTGTTTTGTCACTGGCATACACATAATACCCCATAATGTCAAAGTGGATTTATGTTTTTTGAAATGTTTACAAATTAATTTAAAATGAAAAGCTGAAATGTATTGAGTCAATACGTATTCAACCCCCTTGTTAAGGAAAGCCTAAATAGGTTCAGGAGTAAAAATGTGCTTAACAAGTCACATAAGTTGTATGAACTCACTCTGTGTGCAATAACAGTGTTCAACATAATTTTTTTAATGACTACCTCATCTCTGTAACCCACATACAATTATCTGAAGGTCCCTCAGTCGAGCAGTGAATTTCAAACAGATTCGACCACAAAGACCAGGGAGGTATCTAGGTGTCTGGTTAGACTGTAAACTCAACTTCCAGACTCACATAAAGAATCTCCAATCCAAAGTTAAATCTAGAATCGGCTTCCTATTTCGCAACAAAGCCTCCTTCACTCATGCTGCCAAACATGCCCTCGTAAAACTGACTATCCTACCGATCCTTGACTTCGGCGATGTCATTTACAAAATAGCCTCCAACACTCTACTCAGCAAATTGGATGTAGTCTATCACAGTGCCATCCGTTTTGTCTCCAAAGCCCCATACACTACCCACCACTGTGACCTGTACGCTCTTGTTGGCTGGTCCTCACTACATGTTCGTCGTCAAACCCACTGGCTCCAGGCCATCTATAAATCACTGCTAGGCAAATCCCCGCCTTATCTTAGCTCATTGGTCACCATAGCAGCACCCACCCGTAGTATGCGCTCCAGCAGGTATATCTCTCTGGTCATTCCCAAAGCCAACACCTCCTTTGGCCGCCATTCCTTCCAGTTCTCTGCTGCCAATGACTGGAACGAATTGCAAAAATCTCTGAAGCTGGAGACTCTTATCTCCCTCAATAACTTTAAGCATCAGTTGTCAGAGCACCTTACCGATTACTGCACCTGTACACAGCCCATCTGAAATTAGCCCACCCAACTACCTCATCCCTATATTGTTATTTATTTTGCTCTTTTGCACCCCAGTATCTCTATTTGCACATAATCTCTTGCACATCTAGCATTCCAGTGTTAATACTATTGTAATTATTCTGCACTATAGCCTATTTATTGCCTTACCTCCATAACTTGCTACATTTGCACACACTGTATATATATTTTCTGTTGTATTTCTGACTTTATGTTTTTTTTTTACCCCATATGTAACTCTGTGTTGTTTTTATTGCACTACTTTGCTTTATCTTGGCCAGGTCGCAGTTGTAAATGAGAACCTGTTCTCAACTGGCTTACCTGGTTAAATAAAGGTGAAATAAAAAAAAATAAAAAAAGGTTTTCCAATGCCCCGCAAAGAAGGGCACCTATCGGTAGATGGGTAAAAAAAAAAAGCAGACACTGAATATCCCTTTGAGCATAGTGAAGTTATTCATTACACTTTGGACGGTGTATCAATACACCCAGTCACTACAAAGATACAGGCGTCCTTCCTTATTTTTTATTTTTCCTAATTTCTCTCCCCAATTTCGTGATTTCCAATTGGTAGTTAGTCTTGTCCCATCGCTGCAACTCCCGTACGGACTCGGGAGAGGCGGTCGAGAGCCATGCATCCTCCAAAACACGACCCCGCCAAGCCGCACTGCTTCTTGACACAGTGCTCGCTTACCCCGGAAGCCAGCCGCACCAATGTGTCGGAGGAAACACCGTACAGCTGGCGACGAAGTCAGCTTGCAGGCGCACGGCCCGCCACAAGGAGTCGCTAGAGCGCGATGGGACAAGGACATCCCAGCCGGCCAAACCCTCCCCTAACCCGGACGACGCTTGGCCAATTGTGCGCCGCCTCATGGGTCTCCCGGTCGCGGCTGGCTGCTTTCCACCAGACACTGGGAGATTAATTCACCTTTCAGCAGGACAATAACCTAAAACACAACGCCAGTTGCTTACCAAGAAGACATTGAATGTTCCTGAGTGGCCGAGTTACAGTTTTGACTTAAATCTACTTGAAAATCTATGACAAGACCTGAAAATGGTTGTCTAACAATGATCAACAACCAATTTGACAGCTTGAAGAATTTTGAAAATAATAAATGTGCAAATATTGCACAATCCAGGTGTGGAAAGCTCTTAGAGACTTACCCAGAAAGACTCACAGCTGTAATCGCTGCCAAAGGTGATTCTAACATTTATTGACTCGGGGTTGAATACTTACATATCTAATCAAGATATATTAGTGTTTTATTTTTCATGATTTTTTTCTCTCCAAATGTTAGAATTTTTCTTCCACTTTGACAGAGTATTTTGTGTAGATTGTAGACAAAAAATAACAATTAAATCCATTGTAATCCCACATTGTAACACAACAACATGTGGAAAAAGTCAAGGGGTGTGAATACTTTCTGAAGGCACTGTAGATGTTCCACATACCCATGGCACAGGAGGGGTAGATCAGAACCCAGGCTATGGGCTGCTGGCTCTCTGCATCCAGCACACAGCAGGACGGGTAGTGCCGGATCATGTTCCGGATCATCCGGACACTGTGCTCCGCGTTCCCGAACTTCCAGGTTTTGTTGACTAGATCAGTGTGGGATTCGTCTAGTGAGGATATCGTTGATTCAATTTCACTGTGGATTTGAGAAGGAAAGAAAGAAGAGATGTGTGAGAGATAGCACATCGTAGGGCGGTCGCTAGGGGACTCACATTACTGTTGTAAAAGTAGAATACACAAGGTTCACTTAAGATCATTAAGGACCTATGCCACCCGAGCCACGGTCCGTTCACTCTGCTACCATCTAGCAGGTGCTTCAGACCTGGGACCGAGAGACTGAAAAACAGCTTCTATCTCCAAGCCATCAGACTGTTGAACAGCCATCACTAGCCGGCTACCTGCCCGGTACTCTGCCCTGCACCTTGAGACTAATGCACCATATAATAGAGACATTGAACACGGGTCACTTCATTTACTGTTTATAAACTGTTGTTTACTCACTGTGTATGTACAGTGAGGGAAAAAAGTATTTGATCCCCTGCTGATTTTGTACGTTTGCCCACTGACAAAGACATGATCAATCTATAATTTTAATGGTAGGTTTACTTGAACAGTGAGAGACAGAATAACAAAACAAAAATCCAGAAAAACGCATGTCAAAAATGTTATAAATTGATTTGCATTTTAATGAGGGAAATAAGTATTTGACCCCCTCTCAATCAGAAAGATTTCTGGCTCCCAGGTGTCTTTTATACAGGTAACGAGCTGTAATCTCAGCTTGTTACCTGTATAAAAGACACCTGTCCACAGAAGCAATCAATCCGATTCCAAACTCTCCACCATTGCCAAGACCAAAGAGCTCTCCAAGGATGTCAGGGACAAGATTGTAGACCTACACAAGGTGTCATGATTCAACTGGATTTGAACCCAAATGCAGACAACTACACCGAGCCAGAGAAGGTTTAACAGGTTTATTTACAAAGTTCAATTTGTCCAGGTTTCCAATAATAGGGGAAGAGCAAGTCCAGGTTTACAGGGAGGGTAACAGATCCAGGTTCAGAGCAGGAGTGGTACCGTAACGTCCTAGTGTCCGTGGTGAGTCCAAAAGGAAGGTCCGGTAGTGGAAAGCAGGATGGTGGTGGCAGGAGTGAAGCGGAGGCAGGAGTCAGGTTCCAATAATCTGTGGCACAGGAGAAAAGTAACTAGAACAGGCCAAAAACACAAAGGCGAAAACAAGCAGGTTGAGTCAACAGCGAAACTAACATGGTAGTCTTGACTATGATCTGACGATGAGTGGCAAGTTTGACCGGGTCTTTAAGGCTGAGGTGATTATGGTGAATGAGCTGCAGCTGGAACCCTGACTCCCGCACACCAGACTTCACTCCTGCAATCAAGGACAGACAGAGGGGAGGGGGAGAGCAGAGAGAGCTACCTAGCAGCAGTAGGCCTAACACAAGGCTGGAATGGGCTACAAGACCATCGCCAAGCAGCTTGGTGAGAAGGTGACAACAGTTGGTGTGATTATTCGCAAATGGAAGAAACACAAAATAACTGTCAATTTCCCTCTGCCTGGGGCTCCACGCAAGATCTCACCTCGTGGAGTTGCAATGATCATGAGAACGGTGAGGAATCAGCCCAGAACTACACGGGAGGATCTTTTCAATGATCTCAAGGCAGCTGGGACCATAGTCACCAAGAAAACAATTGGTAACACACTACGCCATGAAGAACTGAAATCCTGCAGCGCACGCAAGGTCCCCCTGCTCAAGCCAGCGCATGTCCAGGCCCGTCTGAAGTTTGCCAATGACCATCTGGATGATCCAGAGGAGGAATGGGAGAAGGTCATTTGGTCTGATGAGACAAAAATATAGCTTTTTGGTCTAAACTCCACTCGCCGTGTTTGGAGGAAGAAGAAGGATGAGTACAACCCCAAGAACATCATCCCAACCGTGAAACATGGAGGTGGAAACATCATTCTTTGGGGATGCTTTTCTGCAAAGGGGACAGGACGACTGCACCGTATTGAGGGGAGGATGGAAGGGGCCATGTATCGCGAGATCTTGGCCAACAACCTCCTTCCCTCAGTAAGAGCATTGAAGATGGGTCGTGGCTGGGTCTTCCAGCATGACAACGACCCGAAACACACAGCCAGGGCAACTAAGGAGTGGCTCCGTAAGAAGCATCTCAAGGTCCTGGAGTGGCCTAGCCAGTCTCCAGACCTGAACCCAATAGAACATCTTTGGAGGGAGCTGAAAGTCCATATTGCCCAGCGACAGCCCCGAAACCTGAAGGATCTGGAGAAGGTCTGTATGGAGGAGTGGGCCAAAATCCCTGCTGCAGTGTGTGCAAACCTGGTCAAGACCTACAGGAAACGTATGATCTCTGTAATTGCAAACAAAGGTTTCTGTACCAAATATTAAGTTCTGCTTTTCTGATGTATCAAATACTTATGTCATGCCATAAAATGCAAATGATTTACTTAAAAATCATACAATGTGATTTTCTGGATTTTTGTCTCTCACAGTTGAAGTGTACATATGATAAAAATTACAGACCTCTACATGCTTTGTAAGTAGGAAAACCTGCAAAATCGCCAGTGTATCAAATACTTGTTCTCCCCACTGTAGCTCATCCTAATATACCTACTACTGTACCTACCATTTTCTTTTCCAAATGATATACTGTCTATACACACCATGTAGTTATATTCTGGATTTTGACATCGCTCACTCTAATATAGTATCTACTTTGGATTTTTAATTGTACTTGTTCTCGTTTCTTGATTTCTTGTTTAGATTTTTAGATTATTTGCGTATTGAATTTGCTAGACATTCTACTGTGCTGTTGGGGCTAGTAGCATAAGCATTTTACTGCACCTGCTATAACAACTTCAAATCTGTGTACGCGACCAATAAACTTTGATTTGAAATTTGGTATAGTGCATCTGCAGTTTTCCTCTTGTTATGTCAGTCACTGACAGTCACTCAAGTAGCCAATGTCAACAATGGTACCGACCATGCATGCAGGGCACTTGCTATTGATTTTGTTTGTCACGTTCACTCAGATATCATATGAACATAGCATAAGCCATGGCAAAATGTGTAGAATTGCAGAAAATACGCTTTAAAATTGCAAAAATGTCTATCCCATGGCAAAATGAATCGAACTCCCTCAGTGAATGAGACAGAAAGAGAGAGTGTGTGTGTGTGTGTGGCTGAGCCCATCATACCTTTCTACAGGTGGAAGGCGGGATGGATCCTGGAGTGTCATCATGTGACACACAGCTACTTTATTCCCTGGCACCTTTCTCTCAGAAGCCACCGCCATCACCATCTCCTCATAGCAAAGACTGGTGCCTAAAATAAGAGAGGGCTGTACCTTTGGCAAACAACTTCTACGAAATGAAACTCAATTGCTTTTACATCATGTTGCATGGCGTTTAGAGTAAACTTTGTGCTATATATTGTGCGACTAATGAAACCACCCCAGATCCCAGCAGTCTAGAGACAACCAGAGACACCAGGGGCCGTATCTATCAAGCGTCTCCGAATAGGAGTGCTGATCTAGGATCAGGTCCTCCCTGTTCAAAATTATGCAAAACTGATCCTAGATCAGCACTCCCACTCTGGCAAGCTTTATACATGCAGCCCAGGTCTTTCTTTACTTGTAAAAGAGGTCTTCTGATGGGACTTCCTGGATAAAGCAATAGGTTAAATGAATACAAAACAATGGGGAGCTCACCATCCCCTGCTATCTGCTGCAGCAGGGCAAGGCTGAGTTTGTGGGTCGCTCTGGTCCAGGTTGTTGGTGCGCGTTCCTCCACTACGTTAGTAGAGGAAGGTGCAATAATGACCTGAACCAGAGCTCAGTTTGGGGGCGCTTGAGAGAGAGCTGAAGAGGGCCTTACACTCCGAATGGGGAATTCTCAAAATGCTACATACATTTTAAGGTCCATGGGTGATGGTTTTAAGAGGGAGAGAGAAACTTACTTTGGCAATGTCAACATATGTTTCCCATGCCAATAAAGCCCTTTGAATTTAATTTATTTGAGAAACAAAGAAAGGGGGTGGGGCAGGAAAAGTGCAAGTGGCTGGTAGTGTAATTACAGTGTAATTACCTAAACAGAGGAACTTTGTCCAGTCAATTATGTTGTTCTCTCCAAGGATATTCCTAAAAGTAGCTTCATCTTTAGTAAAAACACATGTGTCTTTAAAAAGGTCCCCCTCCTGCAAAATGGGCAAATGAGGAGTTGAGACAACAAAATACACATTAGTTCTATAAGTTTGAGACGGGTGCATCTTTATGAACTAATTTCATGTAGTTACCTTCTCACATAGTGGTTTGCAGAGAATTACATTGAATTCTGGCCAGCGGTCCACAAAAACCTGAATCGGGTCAGACTTAACTCTGTTTATCTGGAAAATGTAACCGTAAACCTTGAAAGACAAGGCAAGAAGAACCCTTAGACACTACAGATAAAATTGGACATGGAGAAATATACAAATACGTGAAAGTTCCCTAGATGCCTCCTTTAGAAAACTAAGTATGATATAAATGAAATACTCAATATATCTTGTCTAGCATTTGTATCTGTTACGTGTGAAGTCCCGTTTGGCTCAGTTGATAGGTGGGTTCGATTCCCACGGGGGACCAGTACGGACAAAAAGTATGAAAAATGTACTCTAATTACTAAAATGTGATTCAAAAGGCACTTGCACATCTGAGCCATCTTTGTTGCAGGTGCATGGTAATAATTGAAGAAACCTGCACACTGCTCTTGATAGTATCACTGCTCTTGCTAGTATCACTGCTCTTTATTAAGCTTTACGTATCGGCCTCAAGGCCTTAGTCAGAGCTTCGTCAGTTTGCGGGTTTCTTCTTTTTTCTCAAATGACTAAAATGTCAAATATAAATGTTGCTGTTATACACTGAGTGTACAAAACATTAGGGACACCTCACTAATATTGAGTTGCACCCCCTTTTGCCCTCAGAACAGCCTTAATTCATCAGGGCATGGACTCTACAAGGTGTCGAAAGTATTCCACAGGGATGCTGGCCCATGTTGACTCCACTGCTTCCCACAGTTGTGTCAAGTTGGCTGAATGTCCTTTGGGTGGTGGACTATTCTTGATATACATGGGAAACTGTTGAGCGTGAATAACCCAGCAGCTTTGCAGTTCTTGACACACTCAAACCGGTGCGCGTGTGCCTGGCACCTACTACCATACCCCGTTCAAAGGCACTTAAATATTTTGTCTTGCCCATTCACCCTCTGAATGGCACACATGCACAATCCATGTGCGTACACACACATGATAACATACGCACTATACACACACGTACAAATGGATTTTGTGTTGTAGATATGTGGTAGTGGACTTAGTGTGTTGTGAAATCTGTTATGACTGTATTGTAATGTTTTTAAAATTGTATAACTGCCTTAATTTTGACGGACCCCAGGAAGAGTAGCTGCTTCCATGGCAGCAGCTAATGGGGATCCATAATAAATACAAATACAAACGTCTCAATTATCTCAAGGCTTAAAAATCCTTCTTTAACTTGTCTCCTTCCCTTCATCTACACTGAGTGGATTTAACAGGTGACATCAATAAGGGATCATAGCTTTCACCTCGTCAGTCTATGTCATGGAAAGAGCAGGTATTCCTGATGTTTTGTACCCTCAGTGTATGTTTTAATATATCTTTAGGCTACATCTTATCCGACTTGCCACAACTAAGGTGGTTTCCTCTAGGAAAAATAGTTATTCTATACTAATAGATAATAATGTAATCTATTCCAAAAAGCATAATCTTTGCATTATCAAATCAAATTACAATTTATTTAAAGTAAATCTAAGCCTTAATACACTTTACAAAAAAAGTATAATTGAATAATAAAAATGAATATAACGCACACTATACTACCTTAATACCCACCTGCTGCGACTGAGGAAATAGCTCTTTCAGTTGGGTCTCAACAGTCTTCAGCTGCTTTTCATTCAGTTGCTCCATGGCACGTTCCCCGTTCTGACACACATGCAGGATTTGACACTGAGCAAACGACTGCACAATAGGCTAGATAGTCATAAACGGGCAATTCATTATATGCTTCCTGAATGTATAACGCAATACTGAACACTTAACTGTTACTTCAACAAATTGTACAACCTTCAGCACTTTACTTTCGGCATTACAAGGAGGGAAATTGATTTCACATCGGCCACTATTCAAACATACATAGGCTATGCATAGCTTAATCATTGAGAGTAATATTAGTGTGGCAAGCTGCCATAGTAACAGCGATTTGAATAAAACATCCCGAATCAGCTGTGAAAATAAGGCACATGCCGCAAACTCTTTGCATGCAGGCTAGGTTGAATATTGTATTTTTGAACCAAGCATGCATATAAATATACCGTTGTGAAGCAGGCAAGAATAACCACGCACTTCCGGGTCACGGATTTTTGGAATCCTTCAAAGTACAGCTCGGCACCTTGTAGTCACAGAGTTTCTAAACACAGAGGCGCAACATCGCGAGACTTCCAGGAACTCTTGCGAAACAGATCAGGCCGTGGTTAGGGGGTTGAGAAGTCAATGAGAGAAGTGAAACATTCTTCCTTAGTTGTTAATTTTCTCAAAATCTAAAGGCACAGCCTAGATTCGAGCCATCGTCTTACGTAGTTGAACATGGTATTACTCCAACTTCGTGAAAGTGACAAACTGAAACGTTTTTATTTTCGTCGAAAACATTTTTATATCGAACAAAGGAGTGTATTTGATTTGCCGGACTGCACATGCGCAGTTCGGCGCGAGACGACCGTTTGCCCCGATGACTTGTTTGTATGCATGAGCTTTGCTAGCCAACATCGCCTACAAGTGTGATCGGGGATTTATATTGGAGAAACGGTTTTAGCCTATCTTCATACAGTTGTAGTCCTAAAAACCAGAAATGACTTACCTCTGGTTCGTTGAGCCATTCCTATGGGGAAAATGAATGGGGAAAGAATAGTGTTTTGGGATAAATGCCGAAAATAAGGTCTGAGGTTAACATAGGCTTAGGATATCTTATAAGTTTTGTTCTATGAGATAATATCAGTCAATTAACATGACCTTTATGAATTATGAAGCCTTTTATGTGCTTTATTTAAATTACATAAATGCTTAAAAATTCACAAAAAGTGATGAAAAACTGTTGAAGATTATCTCAGAACAAAACGTATAAGATCTCTTAATTAATTATTATTAATCTCTTAAGCCTGTGTTTACCACAGACCTTATTTTCGGCGTTAACCAAAAGCCCTACAAAAACTCCATTCATATTCCCATAGGCTTTGTCCATGGCGGAGTTAGTGCCTACAAAACGTCCTGTCCTGTATACTTTGTAAATTAGTAATTAGGGTGAAAATTATGGGGAAATGTGCACAATTATCGATATATTTATACAAGTTATCCTACAAAGAATAATCAAAAGTATTTTTAAAGATATTTTGTGATTTATGTGTCAACATGTTTTTTGTGTGTGTACTCCTATCATTTATTGGACTGTACATAGAGTGAGCTCCAAAAGTATTGGGACAGTGACAAATGTTTTTGTTGTTTTGGCTCTGTACTCCAGCCAGCACTTTGGATTTGAAATGATACAATATCGGGGGGACCGTTTAGAAATTACAGCAGTTTTTGTACATAGTCCCTCCATTTGGTTGTGTTAAAGATTATTTTGTGCCCAATATAAATGAATGGTAAATAATGTATTGTCATTTTGGAGTCACCTTTTTTTTTTTTATTTTTATTTCACCTTTATTTAACCAGGTAAGCCAGTTGAGAACAAGTTCTCATTTACAACTGCGACCTGGCCAAGATAAAGCAAAGCAGTGCGATAAAAACAACAACACAGAGTTACATATGGGGTAAACAAAACATAAAGTCAAAAATACAACAGAAAATATATATACAGTGTGTGCGAATGTAGTAAGTTATGGAGGTAAGGCAATAAATAGGCCATAGTGCAAAATAGTTACAATTTCGTATTGACACTGGAATGATAGATGTGCAAAAGATGATGTGCAAATAGAGATACTGGGGTGCAAATTAGCAAAATAAATAACAATATGGGGATGAGGTAGTTGGGTGGGCTAATTTCAGAAAGGCTGTGTACAGGTGCAGTGATCGGTAAGCTGCTCTGACAACTGACGCTTAAAGTTAGTGAGGGAGATAAGAGTCTCCAGCTTCAGAGATTTTTGCAGTTCGTTCCAGTCATTGGCAGCAGAGAACTGGAAGGAATGGCGGCCAAAGGAGGTGTTGGCTTTGGGGATGATCAGTGAGATATACCTGCTGGAGCGCAGACTACGGGTGGGTGTTGCTATGGTGACCAGTGAGCTAAGATAAGACAGGGATTTGCCTAGCAATGATTTATAGATGACCTGGAGCCAGTGGGTTTGGCGACAAATATGTAGTGAGGGCCAGCCAACAAGAGCGTACAGGTCACAATGGCGGGTACTATATGGGGCTTTGGTGACAAAACGGATGGCACTGTGATAGACTACATCCAATTTGCTGAGTAGAGTGTTGGAGGCTATTTTGTAAATGACATCGCCGAAGTCAAGGATCGGTAGGATAGTCCGTTTTACGAGGGCATGTTTGGCAGCATGAGTGAAGGAGGCTTTGTTGCGAAATAGGAAGCCGATTCTAGATTTAACTTTGGATTGGAGATGCTTAATGTGAGTCTGGAAGGAGTTTACAGTCTAACCAGACACCTAGGTATTTGTAGTTGTCCACATACTCTAGGTCAGACCCGCCAAGAGTAGTGATTCTAGTCGGGTGGGCGGGTGCAAGCAGCGTTCGGTTGAAGAGCATGCATTTAGTTTTACTAGTGTTTAAGAGCAGTTGGAGGCTACGGAAGGAGGGTTGTATGGCGTTGAAGCTCGTTTGGAGGTTTGTTAACACAGTGTCCAATGAAGGGCCAGATGTATACAAAATGGTGTTGTCCGCATAGAGGTGGATCCGAGCGTCACCAGCAGCAAGAGCGACATCATTGATATACACAGAGAATAGAGTCGCGCCGAGAATTTAACCCTGTGGCACCCCCATAGAGACGGCCATAGGTCCAGACAACAGGCCCTCCGATTTGACACATTGAACACTATCTGAGAAGTAGTTGGTGAACCAGGCGAGGCAGTCATTAGAGAAACCAAGGCTATTTAGTCTGCCAATAAGAATGCGGTGGTTGACAGAGTCGAAAGCCTTGGCCAGGTCGATGATGACGGCTGCGCAGTACTGTCTTTTATCGATCGCGTTTATAATATCGTTTAGGACCTTGAGCGTGGCTGAGGTGCACCCATGACCAGCTCGGAAACCGAATTGCATAGCGGAGAAGGTACGGTGGGATTTGAAATGGTCGGTGATCTGTTTTTTAACTTGGCTTTCAAATACTTTCGAAAGGCAGGGCAGGATGGATATAGGTCTATAACAGTTTGGATCTAACCCTAACCCTAACCACCCCAAAAATGCTAACCTCCCCTGTTATTGTAATGGTGAGAGGTTAGCATGTCTTGGGGGTATGATATTTGTGTGTCTGTAACTTACAGGCAATTGGCTAGTAGTATTACAGTGAAACAAAAAAATAAATATATATATATTATACAGTTGAAGTCGGATGTTTACATACACTTAGGTTGGAGTCATTAAAACTTGTTTTTCAACCACACACAATTTTTTGTTAACAAACTATAGTTTTGGCAAGTCGGTTAGGACATCTACTTTGTGCATGGCACAAGTAATTTTTCTAACAACTGTTTACAGAAAGATTATTTCACTTATAATTCACTGTGGTCCTCTGTAGCTCAATTGGTAGAGCATGGTGCTTGTAACGCCAGGGTAGTGGGTTCGATCCCCGGGACCACCCATACGTAAAAATGTATGCACACATGACTGTAAGTCGCTTTGGATAAAAAGCGTCTGCTAAATGGCATATTATTATTATTATTATTATTATTATTATTATTATTATATTATTACTGTATCACAATTCCAGTGGGTCAGAAGTTAATATACACTAAGTTGACTGTGCCTTTAAACAGCTTGGAAAATTCCAGAAAATTATGTCATGGCTTTAGAAGCTTCTGATAGGCTAATTGACATCATTTGAGTCAATTGGAGGTGTACCTGTGGATGTATTTCAAGGCCTACCTTCAAACTCAGTGCCTCTTTCCTTGACATCATGGGAAAATCAAAATAAATCAGCCAAGTCCTCAGAAAAAAAATGGTAGACCTCCACAAGTCTGGTTCATCCTTGGGAGCAATTTCCAAATGCCTGAAGGTACCACGTTCATCTGTACAAACAATAGTACGTAAGTATAAACACCATGGGACCACGCAGCCGTCATACCGCTCAGGAAGGAGACGCGTTCTGTCTCCTAGAGATGAATGTACTTTGGTGCGAAAAGTGCAAATCAATCCCAGAACAACAAAAAAGGACCTTGTGAAGATGCTGGAGGAAACAGGTACAAAAGGATCTATATCCACAGTAAAACGAGTCCTGTATCGACATAAACCAGAAAGGCTGCTCAGCAAGGAAGAAGCCACTGCTCCAAAACCGCCATAAAAAAGCCAGACTACGGTTTGCAACTGCACATGGGGACAAAGATCGTACTTTTTTTGAGAAATGTCCTCTGGTCTGATGAAACAAAAATAGAACTGTTTGGCCATAATGACCATCGTTATGTTTGGAGGAAAAAGGGGAAGGCTTGCAAGCCGAGGAACACCATCCCAACCGTGAAGCATGGGGGTGGCAGCATCATGCTGTGGGGGTGCTTTGCTGCAGGAGGGACTGGTGCACTTCACAAAATAGATGGCATCATGAGGAAATAAAATTATGTGGATATATTGAAGCAACATCTCAAGACATCAGTCAGGAAGTTAAAGCTTGGTCGCAAATGGGTCTTCCAAATGGACAATGACCCCAAGCATACTTCCAAAGTTGTGGCAAAATGGCTTAAGGACAACAAAGTCAAGGTATTGGAGTGGCCATCACAAAGCCCTGACCTCAATCCTATAGAAAATGTGTGGGCAGAACTAAAAATGCATGTGTGAGCAAGGAGGCCTACAAACCTGACTCAGTTACACCAGCTCTGTCAGGAGGAATGGGCCAAAATTCACCCAACTTATTGTGGGAAACTTGTGGAAGGCTACCCGAAACGTTTGACCCAAGTTAAACAATTTAAAGGCAATGCTACCAAATACTAATTGAGTGTATGTAAACTTCTGACCCACTGGGAATGTGATGAAATAAATAAAAGCTGAAATAAATCATTCTCTCTACTATTATTCTGACATTTCACATTCTTAAAATAAAGTGGTGATCCTAACTGACCTAAGACAGGGAATTTTTTACTA